TGTGGTTCAACATTCTTCATGCTGTGTGCCATACTTTATGTGGTTCAACATTCTTCATGCTGTGTGCCATACTTCATGTGGTTCAACATTCTTCATGCTGTGTCATACTTCATGTGGTTTAACATTCTTCATGCTGTGTGCCATACTTCATGTGGTTTAACATTCTTCATGCTGTGTGCCATACTTCATGTGGTTTAACATTCTTCATGCTGTGTGCCATACTTCATGTGGTTCAACATTCTTCATGCTGTGTGCCATACTTAATCTGGTTCAACATTCTTCAAGCTGTGAGCCATACGTCATGTGGTTCAACATTCTTCATGCTGTGTGCCATACTTCATGTGGTTCAACATTCTTCAAGCTGTGAGCCATACGTCATGTGGTTCAACATTCGTCATGCTGTGTGCCATACTTGATGTGATTTAACATTCTTTATGTGTGCCATATGTCTTGTGGTTCAACATTCGTCATGCTGTGTGCCATACTTCATGTGGTTCAACATTCGTCATGCTGTGTGCTATACTTCATGTGGTTCAACATTCTTCATTATGTGTGCCATACTTCATGTGGTTCAACATTCTTCATGTTGTGTGCCATACGTCATGTGGTTCAACATTCTTCATGTTGTGTGCCAAACTTCATGTGGTTTAACATTCTTCATGTGTGCCATACTTCATGTGATGCATTGTAGTTCACGTGATGCGTTGTACCTCATGTGATGTGCCGTACTTCGTTTGATGCTCCATACTACATATGATGCACCATACTTCATGCAATGTGTCATACTGCATGTGATGTGCCGTATTCCATGTGATGTGCCGTACTCCATGTGATGTGCCGTACTCCATGTGATGTGCCGTACTCCATGTGATGTGCCGTACTCCATGTGATGTGCCGTACTCCATGTGATGTGCCGTACTCCATGTGATGTGCTGTACTCCATGTGATGTGCCGTACTCCATGTGATGTGCCGTACTCCATGTGATGTGCCGTACTCCATGTGATGTGCCGTACTCCATGTGATGTGCTGTACTCCATGTGATGTGCCATACTGCATGTGATGTGCCATACTGCATGTGATGTGCCGTACTGCATGTGATGTGCCGTACTGCATGTGATGTGCCGTACTGCGTGTGATGTGCCGTACTGCATGTGATGTGCCGTACTGCATTTGATAGGCCGTATTCCATGTGATGGGCCGTATTCCATGTGATGTGCCGTATTCCATGTGATGTGCCGTACTCCATGTGATGTGCCGTACTCCATGTGATGTGCCGTACTCCATGTGATGTGCCGTACTCCATGTGATATACCGTACTCCTTGTGATGTGCCACTTTAGTCAAACTACTTGTGGTATGCCATACATTTATTATTTATTTATTTATTTATTT